GGGATGATACTGTCCCATAGAAATTAGTTTGGCCCCTTTCTATGTCATGGCCTAGTTTGAGGAGCATTGGTGTCAGCTCTTCATCTTCATGCCGTGGAGGATGTGAATGTAGCTACTCCTGCTAATTTTCAGGTTTTATAGATAACTATGAAGTTTAATTGATCTATAATTTAACTCTGATTTTTTTTGGGGGGGGTCTAGACAAAGGATAAGAATAGATATTTAAGTCACCCACTACTCTGTGATGAGTCCGTGTGGTCGTGGGCTTTACTTCACTGGGACTTGTTATGGCTGCTTCAGTCTCATTGTTCTTATTGACCTGTTTCGATTATGTCCTCTTGATTCAGATTTGGTAGATCATATATCTCTAGAAGTTTGTCCATTTTCTTATACATTCTCCAATTTACCGAATATAGACTTTCTTTTGAAAACGATCTTCTGGATTTTAATGGTGTCTGTTGTAACATTGTCCCTTTTACCTCCAATTAGTTTGTTGTCTTCTCTCATTTAGTTTGAGTGACGATTTATCAGCTTTATGTTTTCAGAGAATCATCTGTTTCACTGATCCTATGTATTGTTAGTTTCTATTTCAGTAATCCCAATTCTGCTTTTTTTTTTTTTTTTTTTTTTTTTTTCATTTTTTTTTTTTTTTTTTGGCAGAACCGGGGATTGAACTCAGGCCTTTGCATTTGCCAGGGAAGCACTTACTCTACTGAGCCATCTCCCTGGTCCCCAAACTCTGCTTTTTATTATTTCTTCCTATTGGGTTGGGTTTGGTTTGTTCTTGCTTTTCGAAGACCTCGCGATATACAGCATTGGTTATTTTATGTAGGCAGACACAGTCATGAGAGTCCCTCCAGACCTGTCCTTGCTGGGTACTAGAATCTGGTGTGCTGCATTTCCATTTTCACTTGATTCTATTGATTTTTAAATATTTCTTGTGATTTATTCATTGACCTAAGTTAATTGTTGCATCTGCATGTGTTTTGTATAGTTTTGTTCCCTGTTATCATGATTTGATAATGTTGCAAGGAACTTTTAATTTTTTTTGTATTTGTTAAGCATTTTGTATGACATTTCATGCATGAGCTGCTATAAAGTGTATTTTCTAGTTGTCCAATGCAGTATTCTGTAGATAGATAACTATGAAGTTTAATTGATCTATAATTTAACTCTGATTTTTTTTTGGGGGGGGTCTAGACAAAGGATAAGAATAGATATTTAAGTCACCCACTACTCTGTGATGGTCTGTGTGTCAAGTACTGTTTATGAAACCAGGTGCACCAATGCTCACTGCAGATAGGGTTATAACTGTCATAGATATGAGGGGTTCAGATATATGGCTCCAGTGTGGAGTAGCCTTGTCTCTAATTTTGTCTTCAAGTCTGCCGTGGAGGATGTGAATGTAGCTACTCCTGCTAATTTTCAGGTTTTATTCACTCCTTATCTTTCTACCCCACTCCACATCATTTTCCTTCCTTTCGCTTTTAGTCTGTGTGCGTCTGATGGTGTGTTCGTGTAAGCAGCAAAGGATTGGGTTTTGGGTTTTAGTCCGGTTAGCCTGTGTGTTTTAACTGGAGAATGAATAGGATGTACATTCAGAGTTATCACAGCAAGTAGGGCCAGGGATATAGCTCAGTGGCACAGCACCTGCCTGGCAAGCACAAGGCTCTGGGTTTGATTCCTGGTACCAAAAAACAAAAAGGTATACACTAATTCCTGTCATGTTTTGTAGTGTTTGGTTTTTTTCCTTATTTTCATTTGCTTATCTACTTTACTTCTTCTATGTAAGGAACTTTTCTTTTATGCTAACTATACTTACCTTGGAAGACCTTTATTTTTCCTTCAGTTATGAAGAATAGTTGGTTATAGTAATGAAGGTTGGAAGTTTTTTTCCCCTTTTGAAATGCACACTCTATGCCTCCTGGCTGTTACAGCGGCTCCGCAGAGCAATCTGGAGCACTTCTGATGGGTCTTATTAGTGGCCTGGCCTTTCTTTCCTGCAGCTTGCAGTATTCTCTCCTTGTTCTGTACTCTTGGCATTTGAACCATAATATGACAGGACGAGGTTCTTTTTGCTCAGGCCTGTTGGAGGATCCTCCTGCTTCCTGTGCTTGTATGTCTTTATCTTTTGTAAGATTTTCTGCTGTTGTCACTGAATATGTTTTCTATACCTTTAGTCTTTTCCTTGGTACCTTCTACATCAAAATTTCTTAAGTTTGGTTTTCTGTGTCTCAGAGTTCTGGGAGTGATAATTCACCCACCTTGTCTTCAAGCTTGAACTGCTGTATTGTGCTTGATCCAAAGCTGGTGATGTTGGGGCTGGTGAGATGGCTCAGTGGTCTAAAGCACCTACTTAGAACAAGCTTAGCAAAGCACAGGGACCGCGGTTCGATCCCCAGCACCACATGCCAGCCCGCCCCGCCCCCTGGTGGGCTGAGCTGGCCACACACACACACACACACACACACACACACACACACACAAATAAATAAATAAAATTCAAAGCTGGTGATGCGTCCCACTGAGGGTTTGTTTTGCTTTTAGTATCTCACTCCCAGGACGTTTGTCTTCTTCAGAACCCCTCTCCTTGTTGGAGTGCTTTTTTATATCCTGTACTCTCTTCATTTGTTTAGATGTGTACTGGTGTTCTCTTTGAAGTCACTAATCAAGCTGCTCAATTCTCTGCTTGGCGCTGGCTGTCTTTGCATCCGGTCACTGAGGTGTTAGGGTCGTCTGCAGGCGTCAGGACGCCTTGTCCTATTTCCTGTCTCTGTGCTGAGCTTTGTGTATTATTGGAATGGACATGAGGGCCTTTGGAATGACCAGCCTGCTTTTAAGGGGGCTTGACCCCCTCCCCCTCAGAGAGGAGGCGATGATCCACAGTAATGACAGCACTGACAGCGAAAAGCACTAACTGCACCACCCATCACTCTCAATGGGAAGGACGGCAGCAGTAACATCAGCTAAGAGGCAAAGTAATAATAAAGTGGAGGGCTGGGGCAAGGGCACAATGCAAGCAGCAGCGAGTAGCTTTTAAAAGGAAGAAAAAGAGCAAGATACAGTATCTGATTAAAAAGGTAAATACAATTAGCTTGTTTTACAGAGGAACAAAGAAAAAAAGAGTAAAAAGGAAATCCTGTGTGCCCAGGTGTTCGGCTCAATGACATTTTCAGGGAGCTGTGTTGTTAGAGAAGCAGCCAGGAACCACGCCTGCAGCCTCCTACACTTTCTGACTTTGCCACTTAACTGCCACACCACGCAGGCGGGAGCCTCCACCCCTAGCTGGTGAGGCCTCCTGTCTGCGGGGTCTGCTTAGGCAGGGGCTTTCTGGGTTTGCTCCTGGGCATTCCCATGGACTGCTAGCACGACGGGCGGGCTGGCCCTGCCACTGCACAGGCTCCAGTCCGGGCCCATAGAGCCGGTATCAGAGCCATGCAGCCCAGACTTCGTGGTTGTAGGAGGGCCCTACCCTTGGCTGCATGCTGCAGTGGGTACAGCAAGGCACTAGTGTAGTCTGTCCCGGGGCCCTGATCTGGCACACTCACCATGGAGCCCTCCGCAGCCTCGATCCCTGCTGTGTACACCACCTCAGGGGCCTGCAGCCAACCCTCCCATCCAGTCACTGCGCCGGGTGTCTGTAGAGCCCGGAGGGGTAAGGTGTCGGTGTTGTGGGGCTTCTGGACATGACACCCAGGCCCATGGCCAGCACTGCAGTGGCTTTCTAATCCAAAGCCTCGACACATGAGGGGCCACTGTCACAGCAGTCAGTCAGTGTAGCCTCTGCCTTCCCCAGTGCTGCCCGTCACTTGTGTCTCTGTGGGCCTCTTGTCCTCCCAGCAGTGGCACTTGGGGCTGTTTTATACTTTCTCTGCCTCTCCACACTTCACATTTTAGCTTTCCTGTCACCTTGTGATCCTCAGGATATGGTGTGTGATTGAAAAAGGGTTTTAACTTTTAGAATTCATTAGTGTGAAAGACACTCTGTCCCAAATCACCTCAGTACTTTGAAAACACTTAGCCCATCATTCCTGTACTTTGTAAAGCAGTTCTGGAGCCCTCTTTCCTGAGTCTTTAGCTGCACTGCTGTGGCTGCCTCCATGTCCTGAAAGGGCTCACAATGCCTCCCTTCTCTGGGCATGCTGACTTGGAGAAGAGCCAGAAGTTGCATGCTGCCAGGCCTGGTGAACGTGGTGGAGGAGGATGCAGCACGCGCATGTGTGTGTGCGTGCGTGCGTGCGTGCGTGCGTGCCTGCCTGCTAGGGTTACAGGCGTGCACCACCACACTGATACTGGGGATTGAACTCGGGACTTTCCGCTTCTAACTGTAAACACGCACTATTTTGATCATCCCTGTAGTTTCATACTTGTACATTATAGATTCACACAATGGATCTTGCTGCCCTGCCATCCCAGTAGTTCCCAGAATGCAGTTTTTAAACTGTAATCCAGGGGCTGTGTATGTAGCTCAGCAAGCAGGTGCCTGGCTAGCACATGTTAAGGCCTTGGGCCCAGTGCATGGTACACAAAACAGTAGTAATTCTGAAGTGACCACATGGCACCCCGCTATCAGTATTTGGGAGAACACAGTGCGCTAACAGTGCCACTGATTTGCTCACGAAGCCCCTGTGGTCAGGGTCTGCCTCTAGTTTTCCCAGCAGTACGCGTTTGCTCCTGAGCAGCTGTCTTGGGCTTTCTGTGTGCTTTCATTGTGGCCTGCGTTCCAGAACCTGGAGAAGCCGTGTCTAACGGCTCCAGCCTGCAGGAGTCAGGGACGCCCTGCAGACCCACCTGTACGTGCCAAGTGGCCTCGGGTAGGTCATTTCATACTTACAGTCTCAGTTTGCTCACTTGTAAAACGTACAAATACTTCCACTGCGAAAATTCTGAGTCTGTGATTTGAGATGAACTTCCGGGTCATGGCTAACAGCCAGCTGTTAGATGAGTAAGGACTTATTCTGCTGTCCCGGAGCATAATTGTGCAATGTTGTATTTTGCAGTTTCTCCTACGATGGCAGGTGGAAACAGAAGTTACAAACCTCTGTGGACTTTCCTCTAGAAAATCTTGACTTGTCACAGTATGTTATTGGTCCAAAGAACAGTTTGAAGAAATACAATTTGTTTTCTGTTTCAGTAAGTATCTCCTGGAACTAGACTATTGTCCAAGAAAACTAATAGGAGTTTCGGGTGACTCCCTGGCAGGTGCGTGGGCGCAGGGGCTGAGCGGGAGACTGGCGGTGCTCATGCGGTCCTCCTTGTCCTGCACAGAATCACTACGGCGGGCTGGATGGAGGCCACTACACTGCTTACTGTAAAAACGCGGCGAGACAGCGGTGGTTTAAGTTCGATGATCACGAAGTTTCTGACATCTCTGTTTCTTCTGTGAAGTCGTCGGCGGCGTACATTCTCTTTTATACTTCCCTGGGACCACGAGCAGCCGACCTAGCCACATAAGGAGACGTGGGCGACGAGTTAGTTAGGTTCTCAAAGGCGGGGCAGCGCAGCTCCCGAACTGCCAACGGGGCGGGGCTGGCTGTGGAGAGGGTTCTGGCCTGGGAGCGTGTTCTCAGCACTCTCTCTCAGCAGAGGCCAGTGCTGTCACCAGAACTGACAGGCAGCGTTAGCAGTGCCGCGGGAGGCGCCCCTGCAGGTAACAGTTACTTCAAAACAATGTTTTTAGTCTGCTCCAAAGTTAAAGTAATTACCTAGCAAAGTATTACCATACTACTGGTTGAAGAACCACTGTAACCTTCATTTTCCTTTTCACTGTTCCGGCCTTTTCACATTTCTAACCCGGCTTGATCTGCTACGTACGCTAGAGTGGTGGAGAACAGGCAGGAATGTATGTGTACGGATTTATTGCACACTTGCACATCAGAGCGATGTACATAGTTTAACGTGTTCTTTCTGTGAAGCCTTGAGCTCAGAGGGCTGCGTTTTAGTTTGGTTTTCTTTTTTCTTTTTTTGGCCTCTCCCAAGTAACTGCAGTGCTTTCTTAGGGAAACGACAGGGCAAAGCTATTTTTCTGTTGGCTTTGGGCTGTATTTGTGCACTAAATCTTTATTCTAAAAAATAAACTTTCTTTAATTTTTTAAAAATGAGAATCTCATTACATTAAAATATTAATGAGAAAAATAATTTAAAACCCTATAAGTGTTCTGTCTTTAATGATATATAAACAGTCTAGGACGGTAAAGCCTATGGTGGTTTTACGGTCTCAGTTTCCTCATTCGTAAAACGTACAGATACTTCCACTGCTAAAATTCTGAGTCTTTGATTTGAAATAAAAGATTTTAGACGTTGGTACATTTTGGTATTCGTGAGGACCACGTTCATCATGGGGAATGTGCGCCTGTACGTAGATCCCTTTATCCTCATCCCCCACTGGGTTTTAGATCTAGACTGCCTGTGCACACACGCTCGCTACACCGCCCCCATCTGTAGCCCATCACTCTGGTTCTAAGTTCAGTTCCCCGGTCCTCCCGAATCAGGATTCCGCCCCTATGGCGCCAGCGCCGTGTGCAGCATTTAGGATCCTCAGCAAACGGATGAGGGTAAAACCACCTAGACTCCTCCTCCTCTGTCGGTCAGCGGGCCTGGAGTTGGGCCTGACCGCAGAGCCGCTGTCTCCGAAGGCCGTGCAACACGGGCACAGGGGTCCTCGCACTGACCTTGGAGACTGGTCACTACACATGACGTCACTGAAACCTGCCCGTAAGATTACCAGGATGCCTGCATGCGGGCCCCATAAGTGTACCTTGGAGAGGACCACGCCCAGGCTGGAATGGTAAAGCTGACACTGTTTTGTGTTGCGAGCTACTTGAAAGGATGTTGGAATCTTGGCTAAATTACTGTCAGCTGAATGTTTTCGGGCCACATTCAGCAGCTGACCAAACTGAACAAACAAGATCTTTTTCAGTGCAGAGATCAAACCCAAGGTCTTCCGCCTGTGCTAGGCAAGTGCTCCATCACCGGCGGTGATGATGGAGGACAGCTCTGTGAGGGATCTTTAGAAAATCTTTGGTTCAGGAGGGGCCAGGGAGATGGCTCAGTGGAATAAGTGCTTCCCTGGCAAGCATAAGGGCCTGAGTTCAATCCCCGGTTCCGCCAAAAAAAAGAAAAGAAAATCATTGGTTGGGCCAGGGACATAGCTCGGTGGCATGAGGCAATTGCAAGATACTGAGTTAAATCTCCGGTACTGCAGGGAGGGAGGGAGGGAGGGAGGGAGGGGAGAAAAGAAAGAAAGTAAAGGAAGAAAATGGTTTTTTGCAGCACTTGAGGCTGAGGCAGGAGGATCTCTGTAAGTTTAAAGGTGCCCTGGACTGTATAGCGAGTTCAAGGCCAGACTGAGCTACATAGATTCTATATCAAAAACATTTTTAAAAATGTGCTGAAATAGTTTATGATAAAAATCCACAAAAATAAATACTAAATTTTGGAACTTGAGTCCCCTGTGAAATCTGTGGTGCTCTGAGGCCTCCACCCTTGAGCTCTGTATTACTTTCCTGCTTTGTCCAGAAGCCAAGACCTACTGTCTTATCTGCTGGAGCCAGGTGTCAAAAGGCTGCAGGAGAGAGTGGAGACGCCAGTGGTGCACGTGGGCTGAGAGAGTTTAATGACTAAGCAAAGCCTCACTGGGGCTCCCGGGCCCCTTGCTGTGCAGTTCGCAGGAAAACAGCCTCTGCCTAACACTTGCACTTTAGTGTAGGGTTAGAGAAGGGCTGGCAGCTGTAGAACAGGAGGTAGGCCGTGGTGGTCTGAACCGAAGTAGCTGGAATCTCACTGACCCGAGTGTCGTCAAAGCTGTACCAGGCCTGGGTCTCCGAGTTCTTACAGAAAGCAGTGTAGTGGCCACTGTCCAGGTCACCAAAGTGATTCTAGGGGAGAAGGATGGGCAGACTTAGTATTTACGGGCACATGCTGAAGCCACAGGCGAGAAGGAAGGTGGAAGGGCCCCAAGAGCTATAGAAGGCTGCCCCTTCACTAGCTCGGGGGAAACGGGCTTCGTAGCAGCCCGCCTGCCGCTGGCGGAGGCAGTCTGGACCCGCGTTCTCGCTGCAGGAATGTGCCGTGGCCAGGTGCTATCTGTGAGCTCATAAATACTCACCACTGGCCCTTACCGTACAGCAGCTGCTACGCACTAAGAGACATTGTAAAATGAGTAGTACCTCACAGTTTCATTTAATGATAGGCTGAGTCCCCGCGCCCGCAGCCATCTCGAGGTCCGCTGTAGTTCCTGTCCTGTACGCGCCGCCATGCCCAAGTGCCCCAAGTGCGAGAAGGAGGTGTACTTTGCGGAACGGGTGACCTCGATGGGCAAGGACTGGCATCGATCCTGTCTAAAGTGTGAAAAGTGTGGAAAGACGCTGACCTCTGGGGGTCACTCTGAGGCTTTGGGCGGGGTGGTGCTGAGAGTCACACCTTCAAGTAGACCCAGGTTTCAGAGATCCCATCCTTGACCACCTGCTGGGCCACTGGCCATCCAGGCACATACCAGGCCTTATATCCAGAGATCCAGGGCTCCCAGCAGCCCCTCATGTCCCCAATAAAGCTGAACACTTGGAAGATAAAAACAAAAAAAAAAAAAAAAAATAATGATAGGCTGAGTCAGGAGGAAGTGTCCTAGCGTTGGACCAAGACGTGGACACGAGGCTGGGGAGGCAGCTCAAGCGCGTGCCTGGCAAGCGCAAGGTTCTGAGTTCGATCCGCAGTTATCAAAACACAAAAAGACAGACACAACTACATACTGCTACAGTGTAGTGTGCAGGGACAGTGCACCAACAAACCCTCCAGTCAGCTTGGACAAAACAAATCCCTGTCCCATTCTTTTTTTTCTTTTGGGGCTGTTGGAGAGGTGAGGGTGGAGACTGGGCTGTCAGCTGGCCTAAATTCGCTGTGTAGCCCACGCTGACCTCACACTTTGAGCAGTTCCGTCCCTCAGCCTCCTGAGAACAGGGCCTCCAGGCGTGCACTGCCACCTGCTGCCCCCTCTGTCTCCCCATGGCTTTCCTGACCAACACAGCAAGCCTGCTGAGCAAGGACAGGGTGTGGTGCGGAGCAGGGTCAGCAGCCAGGGCTGGGTCAGCTGCTGCCTGTTTGTGCACACAGCTGAAAAACTCCAGTATATTTTGTCACATGTGAGAATGACATTAAAGGGCTGGCGAGATAGCTCAGCAGACTAAGCACCTGCTTAGGCAAGCGCAGGGACCGGGGCTTGATCCCCAGCACCACATGCCGCACTGACTGCCCCTGGGCAGGCTGAGCCCACGGAAACTGGGCGGCGTGGTGCAGGCCTGTAAGCCCAGCACTGGGGAGGCTGAAAGCAGGAGGATCACTTCAAGTCTGAGCCGCACCTTCAGCCCCTGTACCAAATACATTAAAAAAAAGAATGACAGTAAGTCAAGCTTGGGTGTTCTTAGAGCGTCACAGGAACACCGCCGCTCTCATTTGTTTTCCAGTGGCTTCTTCAACGCTACAACGCAATAAATAAAACCCCAGGCCTACAAGGTTTAAAATACTTTCTGGCCCATTACAGAGTGACTTCACTGAGCCCTGCAGCAGGGGAGCAAGGGACTTTACGCCCAGTTCCACCCTTGGAGAAGCTGGTTAGCCTTGAGCTTCACTGCTGATCTGACGACCTGACCGCCGGCCAGCTTGCCCGAGCCACACTGGGAGGGCTTGAGTCACACGTTCCCTTGGGCCTTTTTCCTCACCCCCTCTCGCCTCATCTCATTTATATCCCAGGTGACAGAACATCGCTGCTGGTCCTGCTCTTTGCCATTGAGCTGATAATGAAGGGTGCTAACAACGCTGTCGTGTCACCTGAGAAATGCCACCGCTCTGGTGGGCGCGCAGCACCCAGGATGCTCACAGCCGAGCATCGTGCTCAGTTTTGATGAATTTGTAATTGACATAATGAGAGAAGGTGATGCGTCTTTCTAGACGTCCATCTCCAGGTGGCAGGAAGTGACCCCCCCCAAGAGTGACTGCTGCTGTACCCCTGCAAAACGCCTTTGAGGTGTGGGCGGGCGCGGGGTGCAGGACGTTGCAGGGGAGCGCGGCGTGTGATGGCAGCACTGAAGGCGCTTGGGGTGGAAGGCGGACTACACAGGAGAAGTACAGGCAACAGCCCGGCCAGAGGACTGAGGTCAGATTCACTGTGACGGAAGGACGCTGCCGCCACGTACTGTGCTGTTAGCTACCACTCTGGGGTCAGAGAACAGAATCATTTTGGGATCTTGTTCCCCTGCCTTCTCACCATTTGGGATTCAGATTTATACCCCATGAAGTCTGGGAATGCTGTGACATTCAAATGCAAGGTATTTCTGGGGTACTTAGCCAAAGAGAATCTCTCTCCAGATGGTTGCACTTTAAGTCAGCCATACAAGATGCCCACATACAGAAATCTAATCAAGTTGAGCCCCCAGGCCTTCCTTTCTGGAAAAGCCTCCCTGACCCTATAACTCCTGCATTCTGCATGTCCAGAAAAACAGCGTCATGTGGACAATGCTGAGTTTGCCGGCAGTGTGGGCAGCTGCCAAGCGCCCTTGGACCATGGAAGCCAAGTGCCTGGACGAGCAGAACGCATCCTGGGGAATCCGTTCCCTAAGGGCCTTTCTCAAGCGGGAGTCCCAGGAGCTCTCCTCCCAGATGAAACTTGACCCTCAAGCCTGTGAAGTGCAGGGTCTTGCTGATTCCTGAGATGCCCTCAAGGCATCTTTCTTGTCCCTGTACTAACTACAGTTTCTTTTTAATGGCAGCCATCCCTTAAAAAGTCAACAAAGAGGGGGTCGGGGAGATAGCTCAGTGGAATAAGCGCTTCCCTGGCAAGCGCAAGGGCCTGAGTTCAATTCCCGGTTCCACCAAAAAAAAAAAGTCAACAAAGAATCCTATAGATCAATTAAACCTAACATTTACAGGATTCAATCTAAAAACTGCAGGATACACTATGTTTTAATCAGTGCACAAAACTCTAGAATAGACCATATGTTAGGGCACAAAACAAGTCTTTAACCTCCCCAAAAATGAAAAAGCGTAAAATCATATCTTGCATCTTTTTTATCTTAAATAAAACTCGAAATCAAGAAGAAAAACTGAAGTTACACAAATACACGGGGACTAAACACCACACTTTAAACAGTGGGTCATGGAGGAAGTCAGAAGGGAATTTAAATTTTTTTCAAATAAATGAAAATGGAAACAACATACCAAAACCTGTGCAATAGCAGTACTAAAAGAGAAGCTTTTTGCAAAAACACAGATGTGAAATAAACTAATGAGGCATCTCAAGGACTCAGAAAAACAAGAAGAAACTAAGCCCAGACCTAGGACAGCAGAGAAAAAATGATCACAGCAGAACAAGTCTAAAAGGAAACACAAAAGGTCAATGAAAGTGTTAGCTCTTTCAAAAGATAAAATTGGCAGGGCCAAATAGCTCCGTGGATTAGGCGCAGGGGGCTGTGCCGGCCCCACCCCCCAGGCGCGCTGAGAGGGCAACTGAGACTGGGTGGTGGCGCGCGCCTGGAATCCCAGCTCTTGGGAGGCTGTAAACAGGAGGCTCACTGAGTCCGATCTAGTAGTGAGGCCCTGGACACCCTCTGTAGACCCTTCCCTAAAATACAAAAACAATAAATAATTAAAAAATAAAAGAGAAAATTGGCAAAGCTCTAGCTAGAGTAATGAAGGAAAAACAAAAACCTGAAAAATAAAAGATGAGAAAGGAGATACTACAAGGATCATAGGATTATTCTGAAAAACTGATAAACTGAGAAATGTACAAGTGGGCAAATTTCTATATGTCTAAAACCTTTCAAAATTAAATCAAGGGGCTAGGGAGATGGCTCAGTAGAACAAGCACTTGCCTGGCAAGCCAGAGTTCAATCCCCAGTTCAGGGGGCGGGGATCAAGAAGATTTAAAAATGCTAAAAAGTAATGAGATTGAATCAATACTAAAATGCGCCCCCAAAAAAGCCCAAGGCCAGATGGTGTCACTGCTGAATTTCAACAAACTTTTAAAAAAGAACATCTTTGCACACAGACTAAAAGGGAGCCCTTCCAAGCCTACTCTGCAAGACCAGTGTCACACAGTTACAAAAATCTGACAAGGTCATAGCAAGAGCAACAAACCACAGGCCATATCCTTGATGAAAACAGATGTAGGCAGGCGTGGTGCTGCACCTCTGTAGCTGTGACATTGAGGAGGCCGAGGCAGGAGGCCTGCCTCAAGTTCAAGACCAACCCTGCCTGCACAGTTCAAAGCCAGCCTAAACCACAGCAAAAGCCCATCTCAAAAATTCAAAGCCGGGCCAGGGAGATGGCTCAGTAGGATAAGCGCTTGACTGGCAAACACAAGGATGTGAGTTCAATCCCTGGTTCCGCAAAAAAAAAAAAATTCAAAGCCACGCACCACTGACCTTACGCCCGTGTCCCACCTACTCAGGAGGTTGACACGGGTGGATCTCAGCTGCAGGCTTAGCCTGGGCACTTACCAACTTGGCAAACCCTGTGTGAAAAAAGTCTGTTAAAGGGCTAGGTATGAATGGGCACTTTTCAGATGGAGCAGTACCAACGGATTAAAAAAAAAAAAACAAAAAAAAACCCCTCAAATTTAGTGGGGCTCTGATTTTATCTATAGTGTTTTGTTTCTTAACATAAATTGAGAGTAATGAATAAACTTACTACATTTTCTGTGGCTGAAATGTTTAATAATTATTAAAAAGCCCATCTAGAAACCAATCATTTGAGAAGGGTTCAAGGAACTAAAAATTGTTGGTGTATAATTGCTATTTTCAAATATCTGAAGAAACAGCATGTATAGAAAATGGTTTTCTGGGGCCGGGGAGATGGCTCAGTAGAATAAGCACTTGCCTGGCAAGCG